TAGCGAACTCATCGGTAAGGCTAGCGGGCCCTGCCTTAGACATTGAGATACTATTACTACTATACTAAGGCCGGGAAGTTATATATTGTAGTATCGCAGGATTTCCACCTCGTGTATAGGTAACTTTAGGTTAGAAAGTCACCCAGGGTTCGAGGGCCAGGTCGGTCGGAAAAACCCCGTCGATACCTCAGGCCCTTAGCATGACCATATTTGGTCATGTTGGGGCAGGCTTATGGGGAATATATAAAGAAGGCAAAAATAGTTAGCGGGCAGTTGTTGCGTAGTTTTCGAGGAGTCTTTAGAACGGAGTTGTATAAAAATTAGTATAAGTTGTTAGTCGTTTAGTTGTATTTGTGTTGTGGTAATCAAGCTGTAATCTCAAGTTGTAGTTGTAATAGTTGATCTATCTATATTCGTAGACTTTATGGCAACCATCCATTATTATTAATTGATAAATAGAGTACTATTATTTACCACCACCCAAGTCTCTACAATATATAGGAATTAGAGGTTTTCCGAGGACTTGCGAGAAAGTCCTCGAAGTCGGAATCCACCTAGCGGTGAGGCTGAGAATGATGGTCGCTACAAAACCCGTATCAATTTTTCACAGACCCTGGTTATTCTATTGTAAATGTAGAGTCTGTGAAAGAGGTGTTAATTCTATTGTAAAGCCTTCCCGCTTTCATCACCAGTCACACGACACCCTGTATATAGGAAGTTTTATAAAACAGTTTTCTTTCTTTTTCACGTAATAGTGCTAGCATATGCTTCAAGTCGAGGCAAGGAAAGTATCATAACCGAGGACAGAGAGTTCAGAACGGGGTGTATGCGAGCCACGTAGCACGAAACGTGTTAACGACTGTCCACGGTATTCTTTTAGCCCCATCTGCAACTTTAATAGGTTGCCGACGTTTTATACAGCGCATGATCGTATTCGAAATGGCCGGATTCTGGGTAAAAATAACGAAGTCGGTCTATCTATAGTTCATCGGTCAAGGTTTTCAGCACCGTTGGTCCAAGCGGGAATTAGGACGCTGAACGGCCATTTTGTCTGACAGCTTGCGCATTATATTTGCCTGGGGTCTGACCCGAACGTCTTAATCCCCTGTTCGCTGAAGGCAGGTTCCCAACGATCTCGTGGCACTTCCGAGAAAAGATGGGCGGAACTGTGTCGACTAATTCAGCGATTTAAAAAGGTAATTGGGTCATTTGTGCTGATTAAACCAGGCTAACGAATCGCATGCAGTATTTAAATCCACGTCTAAATCGAGCAAATTGATATAAATTTCGTTCGGAACGAGTAATTTTACCAATTCAAACGAATTCTTTCAGACGTAGACATTTTTGCAAGCATATATCGGGTGTCCAAAAATTCACGAAAGGAGTAATTTTGATAGAAAACACAGATTTGTAATTAATGATTATAAATATTTCTCGATAATGAAAACACGTTGTTTCTTCGCTAATTACAGGTTACAAGTATACTATATTTAAACTAGTAAAGTATACTTAAATATTATACCTTGTCTCTGATAATATATTTTGTAACCTCGAATTATTGTCGAATAATTGACGAGTATCGAAATTCGTTAATTGGAGAAATTATACAGCTGATAATTTCTAATTGCACTTCAGTGGCTGCGATCGTAGATACTTGTCGATTTAACCGGAACGGAGTATAGTCAGGATCAGTGGTGGAATTAAAATAGACTATATCGAAAGACCCTCTGGTGGCGAATAATTGAATTATCATGACGTCCGTATCTATCTCGCGTTTTAACGTCGCGAGTAACGAGCGTCCATAAAGGTGGAGCCACTGTACACAGCCTGGCTCCCTCTGTGCGGCAACTCCGGGAGATAGAGACGAACAGATTCTCACGGGAAGCAATCACACCCGCTAATACCTATTTCTCACGGATGACGCGGAGTTCGCGTTATCTGGCCGATGTTTCTATCCTGCAGCAACTCGAACAGAATGGGGAAAGGTCCCTAAGCTCCCGGGCTTAGCTCGGACCAGAGCTGCCATAAAGTCTATCTCTCGTGTCGCTCTCTTGACCCCAAACGACGCCAATTCGCCCCTTGACGGATTCAGAAACATCACCGAGCTCTTCGTACACGTGTTCCCTTCTTTGGGAGAGAAGGAAATCGTGGGAGACGGTATTGTAGAAATGATTGATAAATCTTTGGGACTTCTTTGAGAGAGGATTATATATTTTGTTGCTGTTTTAATTCTTTCAATGTTGTCTCTGTTTCTATTGGATCATCGAATTATTAAGTTCGTCGTACATTTCCTGATAGGGAATATCAAGGAAAGTCGTTTCAGTCGTTTAATTCTGACCCACGAGCGTACATGTGCGGGAGTGGGGGAGCGACCTTGGGCAGTCGATTGATTTCAAGCGAGCTATAGATCGCTAAACAGAGTCTGCACCTCCACATGCACTTTTTGTAATTAGAAAAAGGTATACTGTTTAAAGAAATTGCAAATATAATTAAATTCATAGTAGATTATTAATATAAACATATGGTAATTAAATTAATATAAATAGAAATATATATAAAGAGAAGTTTTAATTAATTTAAAAAACAAATTATATTGTTGTAATATTAAACAATTAAAATAAAATATGTTTCATAAAGACTATATCACTGGACTTACCTTTCTCTGTAGTTTCAATACATAGTATATACTACTATCTAAAAGTCACAAGATAATTCTTGTTTCCTATGAGAAAGTGCAGTTTTCCCATCTTCCTTTACCACTAATAATATACTGCGCGGCGTTTGTCAAACACAGTTCCTGACGTCTCGGAGACGTCAAAGTCTACAATGGCCCATGAAATGAACGACGTCTCTCAGACGTCATTGTATATCAGGGAACTAATACCAACACACCGCTACCGAATCATTTTTCTCGCTGAACAGTTAGAAATAACTCGAAAGTCATGGTACCCTATACGTACACGAACATACGTATATTTTTAAATACATATATATCTATTAATCATCGAGCCTGTTAAACGATCGCCAGCAGGTATTGATTTATCCTCGGACCAGCCAGCGAATTCGTTCGCATGACCGAGTCAATTTCTGGGTCCACTGGAAACGCTTCCGGTGCTAACGACGCCCAACCATAGGCTGTCTATCATCGATTTCCACGAGCTGGTGAGGAAAAAATGAAACTCCACCGATTCCCATCGACGGATTAGCATAGTCGTTCCCGTGATCGATGGCGCCCTCTACTCGCGGCGAAACCGGAAGCGGACGTTAATTATCGCCGCTTTGCCACTCGTTTCGCCCTCTTTCTCCCCACTTGCGCCTAAATCCACCCTGAACTTCGGATTCCGTCGGAAAGATTCGGTCCACTCGAAGATTCCGAGCCGAACTTCCAAGATTCCTCTTCGCTCGTCGATTTCGGGTAACGAGATTGGGCTAACAGGATAATTGTTTGGACTTGTTTGGACTCCGAGGGAATTGCTTCACTTAGGGGTAGTTGGTCTAACAGCGAACTGGATCGAGTCTTTCTGCCGATTTATTTAGCCTCGGATGAGGGAATCGGTTTCTTGGCTGAGCCAGCTCGGGAAGGACTTACTATAGATTTTATGGGTTTTAGGGGAGAGAGTAAGTCGTAAGTCATAGTGATTAATTTCGAGAATTTCTTGCAAGGTTTAGTGTTCCAGAAATATGACACTGAAATTATTAACACTCGGATTGTCATGTTTAAACAAAATTCTGTGTTTTTGGTGGATTATAGTGAATGTCAGTGAATTATATATTAACTCTTTGCACTCGAGAGACGAAATTTAGTTGCCATTTAATCGGGTGTTAAATATCGATGTTAATTAATATATGAAATTTAAAATATAATATATTAGCTAACGATGCGTGGAATGTTGAAATGAAATAATTCTACGTCTTAGTTTGTATGCGATTTTGTATTTACTGTTTTAGAAACATCATGACAGAAAATCTTCGAATTATTATTATAGATCGCTGAATGCAAGAGGGTATTCTTGTAACTTCGACCAATAAAATTTTCCTAAATTGTATTTTCCTAAATTCTTTAGGATTCTTCTTTATGGAAACCGTGATAAGTTTTGACATTTATTTATACATAAAGAGTATCTCCAATTTTTTCTTAACGAAATTAGTAACAATTGTAGAAATTATATAGATATGGGTAGCTATAGGTAGCTATAGGTAAATCGTGTGTTTAAAAACGAGCTCGAATTATCGAAAATTTTCGATAATTTCATCGATGATGTCATCGAGTCTGGTCGAGAGCTTAAAATATTTTCAGTCGAATACAGTGACACTAGTTTTTCCAATATTTTCTCAATAGACCAAAATTTGCTTCATTTTCTTCTTTTTAATTGGTACCCAATTTAACATCCCTTATACTTATATTATCCCACATTATATCTAAAGAGCTATAGTAATTTTCAATAATTTCATCGATAATGTCATCGAATTTGGTCGAAAGCTTAAAATATTTTCAGTCGAATACAGTGTCACCGATTTTTTCAAATATTTTCTCAATAGACCAAACTTTGAATTATTTTCTTCTTTTTAATTCGTATCCAATTTAAAATCCCATACATTTATATTATCCTATATTATATCTAAAGAGCTATAGTAATTTTCGATAATTTGTGTCATCGAGTTTTGTCGAAACCTTAAAATGTTTTCAGTCGAGTTCAGTGATACTGATTTTTCCAATATTTTCTCTATAGACCAAAATTTTAATTATTTTCTTCTTTTTAATTGGTACCCAATTTAACGTCCCCTTATACGCTATATTATTTAAAGAGCTATAGTAATTTTAGATAAGGTCACCCTATTTGGTCTGAAAACTTTTTGCCAGAGTCGATACTATGCTGGAATGTGCGAGAATTCTGTTACCCAAGAATCAAAGTCGCGGTTACCCGATAGCAGCCCGTTTTGCCTAATTTCGACGAAGGTCCTTGGCCACTGGTAACATACTAATTCGTCTCTTTTCCCAGCAGGTGGCAAAATCCAGAGGGAATTGGAGCGCGCAACGCGGGACCAGTTGGTAAGTAATTTGCTGAATCCTATTAGAGTAACACCCGTGAAACTCCGGCCAACGACACGCGTTGCTTCTTTTTCCCTCGTCGAGGCTCGCGTGCCAGCCTCGAGGACACGTAACTGTGGTCTGTCGATGCTTTGCAAAGTAATTAACTTTTGCGCGGGTGTACAAATTGACCGACTACCCGAGACAATGTTACTTCGCGAGTAGGATGACTTTGCAGATTTTTTGTCCCTTTCCCCCGCATTCTTTTTCCGTAGTTTGGGTGAAACATGGGCGGAGAAGAGAGTTCGAAGGTGGAGAGAAATGTACCAGGTGGTTAGGGTTGTTGGGTGTGTTCGGCTTTATGGTTTGGAAGAAACTGAAAAAGACGGAGAATAGGTATAATTTGGATATTGTAAATCGGGAATTAGTATTGCAGATGTTAAACGAGAGATCGAACAGTTTTGACGAAGTCTAGGGAATTTTTGGAACTTGCTATAGCGTTCTTCGTAAAATGTTTTTATTTCCGGATTTTACGATTTTAGTTAAAAGATGGAAAATAGGTACAATTTGGATATTTTAGATGTTGAACGAAAGATCGAGGAGTTTGACGAAGTCTAGGGAATTTTTGGAACTTGCTATAGCGTTCTTCGTAAAATATTTTTATTTTGGATTTTACGATTTTAGTTAAAAGATGGACAATAGGTACAATTTGGATATTTTAGATGTTGAACGAAAGATGGAGGAGTTTGACGAAGTCTAGGGAATTTTTGGAACTTGCTATAGCGTTCTTCGTAAAATATTTTTATTTTGGATTTTACGATTTTAGTTACTAAGATTCGATCGTGTTTTGGTTAACAATTATGCATTTCTAAAGAATCGTGGTAATTTATAAATTATCTAATTACTAATTAGAAATTATTAATTATTAGATTAGAACTCGTCAAATGTGTAAGGCTCTAAAAATATTATATTTGCAAATTGTCAAATTTCCAATGTATCCAATACAAAATTTAAAAATGTGGAAACTTATAATTCCTCGAACTATTAAATTTGGGAGATCGAGAAATTTTGACGAAATCTAGGGAATTTATGGAACTTGTTATAGTCAGTCTTCTTAGTAAAATATTTTTATTTTTGAATTTTACGAGTTTAGTTATTAAAATTCGATCGTGTTTTAGTTAACAATTATGCAGTTCTAAGGAATCGTGGCAATTTCTAAATTACCTAATTACTAATCAGAAATTATTAATTATTAGATTAGAACTCGTCAAATGTGTAAGGCTCTAAAAATATTAAATTGCAAATTGTCAAATTTCCAATATATCCACTACAAAATTACAAAATTTGAAAACTCGTAAATTCCAAAATTCAGCTAAGAGCAGCTCTAAACTCAAACCTCGAATTATTAAATTTCATTGTAAAAACTCGCGAATTTCAAAACTGCAATCCACTAAACGCAAAATCAGGAAACGTAGAACCTCGGAAATTCCAAGGTACCGAATCCACGAACCTGCAAAATCCGCCTCATTTCCCCTCTGAAAACAGCCACGCACAGCCGAAACAAAACCCAGTAAAAAAAGAAAAAAAGAAAAAAAAGAAATCCAAGAATGACCAAACCCTATACGTTCATATTACCCAGCCAACCTCTGTCCTCCGGCAGCCAGAACAGTGGCTCCGCGTAGCGGTGGTTGGGGCAGAAATTTTCAATATCCACCCTGCGAAATTTATGCGAGCCAGCGTAGAACGGCCCTCTGTGTCTCTCCACGGATTCCAGTTCGGAAAAAATCGCCGTACCAACTTCCATTCGCCGTCCCGACCCTCCCGTAATCCACTTACAAGTTTTCCCTTTTCTTCTTGCCGAATCGACGCCTGCGAAGTCTCGGTTCGTGCCGGCGAATGGGATTTCTCTCTCCTTTTTCCTCCCTTTTTTCCTCATACTGGTGTTCGCGTATCGGTGCAAATATTAGATGGCTGTTCTGATAGGTTTCCAGGGAAGAAGCCGAGGTGTACGCGTGTGCCTGTTCCGTATCCAGAATTCGTCGCACGCTCCTGGGCCTCGTCTCCCAGGGTACTACTTTGTTTGGAGAACTCGGCTTCCGTCTGTTCTCGCGAATATTCGGCTGAGAAAAAGGTGTACGGTGCGTGGGACGTTTCTTTGGGGATGAACCGTGACGAGCTGCAGAGGATGAAGGCTATAGATGCGATGGGACTTTGGCATTTGTATCAGGGGACTGTGTATTTCGCAGAGAGGTCTAGTTGCGTAGGCTTGGTGTGTATGGTTCTGTCGATTTCACTGTGTACTCGTGTATCTTGTCAAAAGATGGTCGAGTCGAGCGTGCAATAGTGCTAAGGTCTAAGGTGGCTAGAGATGAGAGGGGTAATGTGGGTTTGATGTAGTCCTTGGTCAGGGAATGCCTTGATCGTCGATTGTGATGATGAGTGTAGAGTTTGAGGTTGAAGGATTCGTATGGGGAATGTAGATTGTTGGTCTTATTGATTTTGTGAAACTAACGAGGTCGTTTTTCATATTAGAATTCGGGAAATATGGTAGTGGAATGTAGGAAAATAATTGATGGACCTGTCTTGCTCGTTAGCGATAGACGGGCCTCATTGGCAAATATTGACAAATGGATCGCGATAACTTTGTGTTCGTGTAAACTTTCGATCGTTTCATAAATGATCCTAAGTGAAGAGAACCTTGAGGACGAAGCCTCCACGCGTGAGGAGTCATCAGAATAAGTTCGGAGTTCAGTTCAGAGACACTCTGGCAGTTAAGATGGGACTACAGTGCGAAATAAACCTTCTTCGAGGCAAGCTTTTCAGTTTTTGACCCGTGTTCCTTCGTATCTCCTTTATCACAGACTCCATTTTCTTTTTTTTTGTTAAGGTACCTTCGTACCTTATTCGGAAGGTACTCCGCCCCTTACGGGAGGGGACGGGGTTAAACCCCCACGGTGGCTATCTTTACCGCGCTGGGGAGCTCTGGGATCTCTCGCGACGGTGACTGGTGTCCCCCGCGGTATGCCCAAATTTTGGGCCCAAATCCGCCGAAAATAAAGCCATAGATATACGACGATACCACAGACTTTACATAGTAATGCTAATAAGCTTAAGTAGCTACAACTATAGCTATAAGTATAGCTGTCAAAGGTGGCACGGGTCCTCTAACAACCCCTAACTGCTATGACAGGTGTCACTGTTCAAAAACTAGGAAAAATCGACACGAGTCGTTCGAAATTGTCCTGTTTCATGTATTGAGCTGTTGGTCGAGTACGTTCTATAGACAAGATTCACCTAGTGAGGTCAGTTCATATCCTCTGAAGTCGTTTTTGAAGATTAACCTGGCTACCCTAGATGTTCCTAGAGGTTGTCTCCTTGCTCCAATTATCCTCGTGGTCAGTGTCCATCCAGTAGCGAGTTTCTCGAAAATCATTTCAGGCAGAAGACTGTCTAGCTTCTGTGGACGATCCTGGAGGTCCTCCTCTGGCTCCAATTAGTTCCACGGACATCAGTTCTCATCCGTTCCGGATCACTGGCGGGAAGAATAATCTGTCGTTCCTTCCGGCTATATCTTCCTCGAGTATGCTCTACCGTGATGAAAGTGGGAGCTGGAAAAATTTCCACGTCCGGAGAAACAATCTTAGCGAGAGGTGGGGACACTAGAAGAGTCCTAGCAATAAAAGGATCTAAGATTCCGAGGAATAAAGGCTTCCAACGGTGAGGAATAACTGGAACACGATAAAAGGAGACATCCTAACTGGGAGACATCATTGTTGTGTTCCTAAATAAAGACTGGAAGATGCTGAAAAATGAATTTGGATGAGGAAGGAAGCTGTGAAAGCATAGGAAAGATAGGAAGCCTTAGGGTTTTAACTATTGGTGCATAAATAGTGCGACTTCAAAATAAGTATTCTAGGAATGAAATAAAAATGGCACGAGATTTCAAGGATAAAAATTTCAGCAATCAGAATAAAAATAGCATAACAAGTTTAAAAATAGTTACTTCAGAAATGAGATAAGAAGTATTCCAAGCACCTCAGGATAAGAATTGTAAAAATAAAAATAAAAACAGTAGTACTGGACTAAAATTGGTACTTCAGCAATGGAATAGAAATAGTCCAACCTCTCTACATCAGAATTTTAGCAATAAAAATAAAAGTAATTGCACAGGATTAGAAATGGTACTTTAACAGTGAAATGAAAAATAGCTCAAGGTCTCAAACATTTGAATAATCTACCCCCAACACTGTAGTGACAAAATACTAAAAAATTCCTAAGAAGAAGATTTGAAAAATTAAAAATGGCGCTTGGGTAGCAAGAAAGAAGTGGAATAAATTGAGGAAGCTGCGGGAAAGCAATCGTCGAAAACCACCTCTTCGAAAAGGCAGCTGTCCCACCGAAAATCTTCAACGAACCGTACAAAGGCCAAGATCCAATCCAAAGTACTCTTCCACTCGAAGAAACCTCAACCTCTCGAGCCCATAATCTCTCTCGAGTGATTCGTTCGGTCTGCTCGAACGGAGCCCCGTCGAACCTCTCTCATTCCATCAGCTTGGTATTCCGTAAACGTTATCACGTGTGAATTCGTCGACCGTGTCAAGTGTGCGTCTTCGGTGCCGTACGTGAAGCTACTGCGGAAACGAGCCTCGTGTTAGAGGCCGTTGTTTCGTCACGTTCGACCTTTCCTGGACGACGAGTCGACACGGACTCGCACCACGATTTTCCACGTTTCCACCCGTCGATTAAACCAGCTTCGCCTTCCTCCCTTGCCCTCCTATTACCCCTGTGATTTTTCCAGTTCGTAGCATACTTTATGAAACGTTTCCTATAACCGAAAGAAATTTGTAAACTGGGTGTAGGTATATAGGTTAGGTTATGTTGTCTAGTTAGGAAGATCGTAAAAACAATGTTTGAAGGAAGATGCATTAAAGACTTCTTACATTTTCGCTAAATATCGCGTTTTAGTATGGATTGTAGTGTTTTAGTAACAAAAATTTGGTTAGTTTGCTATGTTTGATCAA